ACACAAATAATGTACGTTTTGGCCACAAAGCGAATCAAATACAGCTTTGATGCTGAGAATTGTTGGTTTTCGAGTTTTAGAACTATAAATAATATGATAAAAGCGAGGATAAAAACCTATAGCTTTGTAAAAGAATAAAATTATTTAAGGGTGCAGCATGAAGTTAGCACCCCTATTTTTGTTTATTTATTACTTCACCCCTAAGAGAACTATAGAACTCTTTCCAAAAAGGATTAAGGAAGATGTAGGTACCTCGGTAGGTACATGGACTAGAGATTCAGCAAAATAAAGTCATGAGATTTAACTGGACTGTGATATTTATACACCAATTGCGCGGAAGTTAGAAACTCTAAATGGTTAAATGTTGAACAGTGTATAACTAATAATAAGAGTGAACCAATTTTTTTTTATGCCAAAATGAACATAAGTTAGAATCTGCCGAAGAATCTGCTCATTTAAAATGACTAGTCCGATTCATAAAATTTACCGTTCGTCAATGCCGTTCTTGTTCCATCTTTAAACATGGGAAATTTGTGCATAGTGTTCCTGTTCGAAGTTTTTTCTCTGTACGGCACAGTTTTGAGTTTTTTACCTACACTGTTCGTCTATTAGTAGTTGTTTCACAGCCAATCTAAATGACTTATCCTCGGACTAAACATTTTATATTCTTTGAAAGCAAGAAAATTTTCGATCACCTGAGTAATGATTTGAAATCAGTATCGGACTATATCCGAACAAATGCTAAGAGTATGTTATTGGAGAAAGCCGAGGAGAAAGCCTTGTACAGCTTGGCGGAATATTATAGTGATGTTTTATGATTGTCTTGTTTTTTATTTTTTAAAAGTAGACCTATACAGGGTGTCCTGAAAATTGCGTAAAAACTCTTCACTACGTGATGGAGGACCTTTCAGGAAACCCAAGAAAAATAATTGAAAAAATCTAGTTGCATTCTTAAGAAAGTTATTAGCATTTTAATGTTTATTAAAATTGTCAACACTGAAAATATTCCATCGAGTATTCCATTGACAATTTGTCTCAGAATTAATTAAAATACCTGATGTAATTACCTGAAAAATTCGAAGGTGACTGAAAACTGTTGTCAGATCAATTTCTCCTGTTGTAATTTAGAGACTTTGAAATTTTCAGATTGCACTTCAAACTCGGTTTTAAAGATTAACAACAAATTTTTATAAACTCTTACATCATAAATCAAAAAAAAAAACCTAACACCTCGCCCAAGTGGGAAACCACCTTAGAATTTTGGTGTACAAACTGATAGAATTTTTTTGAATTTCTTAGAATTTTTTAGAATTATCAGTATTTTTTAGCATTTTCTAGAATTATTTAGACATAATTTAGAATTTCCACCTATTGCGCATGCTCAAGAGCCTGCGCACTGCGCAGTCTGTAGGGATTTTTGGATTTTTTTTGAATTTTTAGAATTTTTCGAGAATTTTTGGTGTACAAAATTAGGTAAGTGGGTTCCCTCGAGCGGGAAACCTTCTTACTATTTTGGTGTACAGAGTGCTGCAATTTGGAGTGTTTCAACAGGAAAAACATACTTCCAGACCAGATAGAGGAAAATTGACTTAGACGTCATGGGATCGATTTTCGAGAAATCTCGAATGTCAAAAACTGTATCACGATATCTTCAATGGTACCATTGATACAGGGCGATTTTCGATTTTCCCCTATTATGAAAAATAGCTATAACTTTTTTATTTATCATTATGGAGACACTTTTTTGAGCACAATCCAATGGCGGATTCAGTTTTTTTCTATATTGCTCCGATTTCGAGATATCGACCAAAGTCCGATATTTTCAAATGAAGCACCCTATATATTAATAGCTCATTGGATAGCTCTGTTTTTGCTGATTTCAATGATACAAAGTTCGATAGGTTTATCTCTAACAGTTTCCGAGAAAAAAAACATATCTGTTTTTGTCGTAAGGACCAATGTGTTAGAAAAGGATTTTATATGTGTAAGGAAAATGAGGAATGTCTCTTTCTAACACATTGTTTCTTATGACTGAAACAGATATAATTTTTTTTCTCGAAAACTGTTAGAGATAAACCTATCGAACTTTATATCATTGAAATCAGCAAAAACAGAGCTACCCAATGAGTTATTAATATATAGGGTGTCCTATTTAAAAAAATCGTACTTTGGTCAATATCTCAAAATGGGAGCGAAATAGAAAAAAACTGAGTACGCCACTGGATTGTGGTCAAAAAAATACTTTCACTTTCACAAAAAATGTTTTCACAGAAATAAAAAAAATTTATAAACAAAAAACTTATAGCAATTTTTCATAATAGGGGAAAATCGAAAATCGTCCTGTATTAATGGTACCATTGAAGATATCGCGATACGGTTTTTGACAATCGACGTTTCTCGAAAATCAATCCCATGACATCTAAGGGCCATATTCTCCGTTGTTCATAAAGCCTGGCTTAGTAGAAAAGCTTGGCTTTGTCACACAAAAACCCAATCATGTCCACTAAGCCAAGTTTTAGGAACTAGGGAGAATATGGCCCTAAGTCAATTTTCCTCTATCTGTTCTGGAAACATGTTTTTCCTGTTAAAACACTCCAAATTGCAGCACCCTGTACATACAAACTGAATTTTTAGAATTTCTTAGAATTTTTCCGAATTATCAGTATTTTTTTGCATTTTTTAGTATTTTCTAGCATTTTCCAGCAATTTCTAGAATTATTTGGTATTTTTTAGAATTGAACTAGAATTTTTTAGAAATAATTTAGAATTTTTATCTATTGCGCATGCTCAATTTTTTAGAATTTTTAGGGACAATAATAACATGAGAATTAGCATTTTTCAGAATTTTAGAATTTTTGGTGTACAAAATCAGGTAGGTGGATTCCCCCTCGACCTCGCCTAACACGTTGTATGAAATAATGAAATTTAAAAAAAAAAAAAATTAAAAATAAGGAAGTTGAATTTCCATATTCACTTACTTCATCATATTACCAATAATAGTCGAGGAATATTTTTTTAATGATTTTTTTGGGGTTACTCAAAGGATCCCCTACTATGTAGTGGAGAACTTTTACACTATTTTCCAATCATCCTGTATATACATATTTACTAATTTTTATGTTTTGTGCTTTGAGTTGTTTTATTTTATTTTATTTCAATATAACACATTTCAATTGATCATTCATTGGGCTTGTGTTAACATGATATTGTGTATAAGTATGAAGAGACAATATGGTAATCCAATCAATATGGCGGCCACAGTCAAAAAACTGGTTTCTGTGTAATTTGTGGTGCTTAAGGGGAATTTTTCATCCCTTGAGAACAATAATTTTCGTACTTTCTGATGGAGAGCCTTATCTTAAGAAGTTGATAATGGAAGTGAGCAAAAGGTATGCGAAAATCTCCGCTAAACGGCTGGGTTCCACTTTAGTTAAGGTTAGTCAAAGAAAATTAAAAAAAATTGGGAGAACTAAAAACTTGGGAAGTTCTGCCTTTTCGCGGACGACGATGAAAAAAGCATACCTCCATAATAAGCCCTAAAACAAATCATAGTATAAGGTTTTCCTATGTTAAAAACCTATGTTTTGTATTTGCAGGAACAACATAAAACGAGACTATCACGATAAGAATGGTTTTCACAACCAACTACAATACATACCGCAGGCATTTTCTAAAAAACAAATACTTTACTTCAAAACAGAGTTCATAGACAAACTCACATCACAGATGGCAGATGTTTGACCGCTGCCGCCATATTGAATTTATTATAAGAGAGTATCACTTTTTATTTTCGTCATGTGATGCAAAACAAAATAAAAATATATTATTCAAAAATTGCAGAGATTGGACGTGAGATTGTTTAATTTATCATTTCAACCAAAACCAGATCAAACAAAAATTTTGACAGCTGTAATTAATTAAAATACCCGCAGAAAGAAACCTAGAAAAATCTAACCTTAAAATGTAACTGAAGTTTTTAGCGGGAAAGGCAATGGCTCGGGCAACGGTTTAGATAAATGCTCAACCTACCAGTACCTAGTAGGTAAAAATAACACAGAAATGGCGACAAGAAACAGGAACTGTATCGAAAGGGGAGTTTATAAATTGGGCAGGATAAAGATCGAATTTTCATAATCACAGCATTAGATCGAATCCACATTTTATTATTCCCAATTCCCAGAGTAACCACACAGCAATGCACATATCGATTTTTTATTACGATGCTCTGCCGGATGACGAATGACTCGAAAAATAGACCAAGATGAATAGGTTTCCAAGGAATGTACAATAATAATTATAATATATTTTACATTTTCATATTTTTTCGTCGATGTCACTAGCCAATAATTCTATTTACATTTATTGAAACGCTTGCACCAAATTATTCTGATTAAAAGCATTTATTCACTAATTAATCGAAAAAAATGCGTGAATAGTAGTAGTATAATAAAATTATTACTGATACTATTTAGATTCTGACAATCATTTTAAAATAAAATATGAAGTAAAGGGGCTGCCACAGTAAATAATGACCAAATAGAAGAAATTTGAGTTTTACTAATGTACCTACTTAATCTATAAACAGATATGTGATAGGAAGAATAATAGCAAGATATTTTCACATTCATCTACGTATTATTCATTTTATAGAATATACGCCAAATAAATTCAAAGCCAAGAAGTGAAATCTGTTCAAAAAAACCAATATTAATAATAAATTTGGATGGACATGTCAAAAAACAAGCCTGCAAATGTGCCCCTCCAAGGTCAAGGTTTTTAAAAGGCCTACAAGTATCGACATTAGAATCAGTAAATTCCTGAATAAATTAAGAGTTTTTTTCATTCAAGTCCATTCTATCTTTGCTCTAGAATGTATATAAAGAAGGTACTTGATATATGAAACTTTTCTAGAAGGGCCTTTAAAAGCGGTGACATATAAAGAGGCAAATGTTTAGAAGATTCCTGGATCATTTTCGTGTCAATTTATCTGAATTACTTACCTTTTTATTCTCTTTTCTCGTTCATCAAAAGTTGTTTTATTTTTTTAAATATTACGAACACAGACACACGAAACACACTTGAATGGTTGAAATTTCGCTCTTAAATTAAACAAAGCCCAAACGAAGCCAAACGCCGAACCGGGACAGCTAAACGATACGGATCGCACAAGCTCACCCCTCCACAAATTAGACAAATGACACTAGGTTAGGTTTGCTCTCGCTCGAACTTTCCAACTCCAGGTGGGTTCGGCTTGCTCATTCCGTGCACTCCGAGTGACTCCATTAGCACTCCAGCCGTTCGGGTTAAGTTTCGGGTATTGCTTTTTACAGTATTAGGGGTGACTCCATTAGCTCTGTTCACTCCACTCCAACTCCGCGCTGAATAGCCGAACCCAGCTTTCATAGGCGTTTTCTCGCGTCTGAAATGTTTAAAAACATTTTTCAAAGGTTTAAGTAATGTCACCTTGACATCATAATTTCTCGGCGCGAGAAAATGGTTTGAAAACTTGGATTGGATTGTATTTCGAAACGGTTTGAACACAGCCTCCTATAGTTAACAAGCCATGAAGTTGGAAATGACGGCAACGTCGCGTATGGTGCTATTTTGTTATTGGGTTATGTGTTTCTGTGTATTGCTTTCATTGTGTATTGTTGCAATTTAGTATTTTTATGGGCATTATTGACGAAAAAGTGGATAGAAACACACCAATATATTGCCCATATTTAGTTGATACCTGTTCCTTTGTGCTTTGATTGCAAATTTTTAGCAAATGGGTACAGGAGCAAAAATGAAGGTAAGGTAAGGTAAAACAATAAAAGCAATATTAATATTTGTCTGCAAGAGCATAGGTCTCGATATATTGCCTAAGATATTTAAACTTGTTCCAGATGCCATGAAACTACTGTGTTCCTGGGTGCAAATCGAACTATTAGGAGTTCCTTAAAAACTGAAGAAATGCAAACATTTTTATTTCCAAAAAAATTCTGAAGTGCAAAAAATGTGGATGAAAGCAATACACCAAGATAATTATACCCGAGATTATACAATAACGAAAAATTCTGTGGTGTGTTGTAAGCATTTTGAAGAAACCGAAATACTTAGATTTGAAACAAACAAGGATAAAGGCGTAGTTCGAGAGTTCAAACTAAAACGTCCAACTCTTAAAAGTAGGTACCTCTGATTTTCGAAAATCAGCCCAAGTATTTGAATGGACTTGCCTTCCGAAAAAATCCCGAAGAAAGAAAAAGTTAGATTTTCAAAAGACATACTGAAACATAGGCCTATAACACTTTAGACTCTAGGAATATATTCATTTAAATCAATTATTTACTGTTCTTATTTACACAAATAGTTAAATTATTCATTGAATTACTGTTTTTGGCCCTTTAGTACAATAAATTATGCATTTTTTGTGATTCATAATAATAAAATAAAAAATATATATTTATACAAACAAACACCACTAGCACCACTTGGCCGTAAGATTGCGGTGTTGCCTTTTTAACTTCATGGCTTGTTAAATGTAGGAGGCTGTGGTTTGAACCAATTTTGACGTGACGTCATGGGTTTATCGCGAAAATGTACTGTTTCAAAACAGTTTTGAACCAGTTTCAAAAAAGTGGACGCGAGAAAACGCCTTCTTGAAACTGTTCTGACCTGAGCCGCTTTCCAGCAGGCCGTTGCACCCAATCGAGCATTTGCGTGCACAAACGTGTGAAAATTGTGTCCCATCTTCAAATCGGCTTGGAACGCAACCTACCTCTCCCCTGCCCCCTGATGCACAACCTATCAAGAGTCTCAAGTGGCTTCTAGCCCAAGTAAACACTAGACATAAAAGACGAAACACGGTTATTCTATGCGGGAAATAATTACATCGGCGCTCCAAGCTTGTGAGGTTCGAAGCGCGCGGTGCCAAACCTACGCAAGTTTACAGCTGGAAAGCGAATCTGATGGCCAATACAAATACGCAGGAAGAAGCTTCACACGGAACCATTCAAGGAGTAAACTTCGGTTGGAACGGTTTCAGGGATCTAAGATATCAGGTTGGTTTTTCGCTTTGCTCTTAGTTTTATCTCATTTTTTGTTCCTGCCCATTGGCGAGTACCGAAAAAACTGTCCTGAAGCCGTTCTGGAACTTACACTCGGTAAACTCCGAGCGCGCTGAAAACGATAAGATCCTGTTCGTTTTAGCTCTCAGAGTGGTCTCTTTTGCATTCGGTTCTTATGCCCTTGTTCAGGGCACTCTCTACGGTTGAGATCGGCTCTGCACTCCACGGAGTCCGCGGAGCGGAACGGTATGAGCATGGGTATCGTGACGTCATACGCAGAGTGCGCCCTGAACAAGGTCATAAGCCGAGCGCAGATTTTTAAAAAATCCTGCCTAAAATCCTGCATGAAACCCTGACAGAGAGAGAAACCGAAAACGCGAGCCCAGAAACCCGTATGTGAAACCGAATTATTTTTTCACCTAGGGAAAATTAATCAAGCGTGGGAATCTCCAGAATAAATAAAAGTTAGAAAACAAACAAAAAAAGTGGGGTTAGGTTACTCAACTCAGTTGTCAAAATGTAAACAGAATAAGGGAATAGAGGATTTATGTGTCTTCGTGCCCGAGAACTATAAAATACCATGTGTGAAATACCGTATTGTTAGCGGTACCGTAATAGCGTAACGTCTGACGCACGAGAACTTTCTAATATGCATGTTGGGACCGTTCCTGAACGGTTCTCGGTGAGTTTGGAACATACCTATTGAAAGCTTGGGTCGATACCTGACTAATAAGGGCGGGTATTATAAAACTGCTTTGACAGTTAACTTGAAGTTAACTTTTTGAATTACATGTATTTTCAGAAGTTAACTGTTAACTCTCAAAGTAGTTTTATAATACCCGCCCTAAGGGTGGGTATTTATTATAAAACTATTCTGACAGATAACTGAAAGTTAACTTCTGAAATTGCTATGAGAAGTAATGTCATTCAAGAAGTTAACTTTTAGTTATTCTGTCAAAATAGTTTTATAATATCCACCCTAAACCTTAATTCTCACTAGCGCGAAATTCGCTCTTTTTGACATTGTTTCAACAATTTGACGTTTGATACATGCATAAAACGTCAAATTGTCGAAGCAATGCCAAAAAAAGCGAATTTCACGCAAAAAGAGCGAATTTCGGGCAAGTGAGAATGAGGCATAAGGCAGCCTAATGCATAATGCGCCACTTTCACGTGCCGGGAATATGGCAAATTATGATATTTTTTGACGCATCAATGCAACCGAAAATGAACAATATTTTGCAAGATTCCAGTCAGATTATTAAATAAATTAATACCTAAATAAAAACTGAAAATTTAAACCAAAAATCACGTGATTGAAAACGCCCTCTGATTGGCTAAAGCCGATTTTGACGTTTTTGTTGCCACATGTGGAAATGCGAAATTTAAATGAGTTAATAAGGATTATACCTATCCTTTATTTTTGTATAATGTAGTAAAGGACGAAAATAGTTTCTAGTTAGTGAAATGTGTAATGATTTACTAATGAAAAATTTGGCATCCTCGCATTTTTGTTAATTTTCTGGTTTGTGACGTCACAAACCAAGTTCGCGATTTCGCGCCAGTTTAAAAAATCGATTTTTAAATATTTTTTTTTTTCAAAAATTAGCATTTTTTTCGGAAAAAAAGTATGCAGATAGTATTAGAATGACTGAAAGAATAATTTAAATATGTTTTTGAAAAATGTGAAAGTGGCCCATACTCACTTGCGCGAAATTTGCCCTTTTTTTGATATTGCTTCAACAATTTGACGTTTTATGCATGTATCAAACGTCAAATTGTTGAAATGTCAAAAAGAGCGAATTTCGCGCAAGTGAGAATGAGGCGTAAGACCAATTGGTTGACAAATGACGCTCAATTAATGGTTCATCTGTCAAGATGACCGATCGGTCAATCGCTTGAAATTGGCTTAAATGAACAAAACTCAAAGGCGCAAATTTTCATTTTCATTTACAACAATTAACAATACACTACTGTCACTACTTTATACGACAGTATAAATCTAACAGTTTTGGAAGTGAAACTTCTTTTGGGTCTTTGTGAACTGGATGTTATGAAACGGAAAAGTGTAACGGAAATTGAGACATATGGATTGATAGGATTAGGTGTATACGTCTCATTCTCGCGCAATTACCCAGAATACAAACTTAACATCTAGCGCGTGTGAGCTGCACGTTGATTTTTTTGAAATGAAGCTTCTTAGGCGTTGGACTGATATTTAACGAGAATGGAGAGTGATTTGAAAGACTCGTCACGTTTTGGAAAATTTCGTTATACGAGAGAGAAGAAAGATATAACTAATAGGCTGTTCATTTGTACTTGCTACTTGCTGAAAAAATCAGAAAGATCTGCTAGGAGCTGCTATTTATGGGAGTTATGGTACAAGCGAACGCCGATCAGCAGCTGAGATCTGCTTGAAACAAGAAAAGCAGTACAAATGAACAGCCTAAAAGAGAGACGGAGAAAGACAGCCAATGACAATGACAGCCGACGAACGATTGACACAAACCAAGGATTATAAGCAAAGAGGATTGCCTATTATTGTCAAGCGCCGATACCCTTGTGCCGTCACTACAGATGCGCGTCCCCCTTTTGTGTAGTCCCTCGTCTTTACCCCGACTCATACGCTAAGTCTAAAAGTTGTATGAGGGGGCATAGGTTTTAAGAACTTTCACTCCTACTACGTGTACGTTAAAACAAAATTCTTGAGTGTACTTTATTATTTAGACTATTGATGGCGTTTATTTCCTTGGGTAGCGACAAATACAATTGTGGAGGGGGCCTATTTGCAAATGAGAGAAACAACTGCAGTAGGGTTTTCATAATTAAACGTTTATTACACAACATTATTATAAGATTTTTAAATACATTCTAAAATTTCGATTTTCAGAACTCTACAACCATAGATTTGTTCCAACACGTCAAAAACCGTCCCATGAATGGTTTCGAAACCACTCTATATACGAATTTCTGGTTCGACGCACAAATTTTTGGCTTTGCACAGAATCCTGACGGTACATTTTACGGTTTTCTGCTATGTTGGAACAAAGCTATAATTTTCTATTCGTTAACCCCAGAGTAAATCAATATATTTTTCCTAATATAACTAATCCTAATTATCCTGACTTTACAAACTCTTATTCAATTTTTGTTTCCTAATTTATAAAAGACTTTCACTCAATTCGTGTAATAAATTAGAAGCAGCAATAATATTCAATGGTCATAATTACACATTTTAATTAGTTAGTTAGTCAGAGCCGAAAATATACAAGAATCAATTTCACTTTAAAGCTTTTCAGAAATTCATATCAATATTAGTCAATAGTCATCTTCTTTATATTCCTTTAATTAAACTCTTAGCAAAAATATTTAATAGTCATTTCACTTTAAAGTCAATGAAATTGCAATAATAGTTGTATTCCTTTCACACCTAGGAGGAGCTCCGGAATAGCTCCGGGACGTCACGCGCTTATTCCTTTCAAAAAGTGTTTGTTGCACCACACATCTGTTGCTTTCAAATCGAGGGCGACTAAAACCGGAGCGAGTAGCTCGAGTGTTCCAAACTCTTGAAAGGAAAACAACTAATGTTCCATAGTCATTTCAGTTTACATCATAGTTATTGCAATAATGATTAAATAGTAAAGTCTCAGTTTCCTACATGTACCGGGTGTTTTTTGCCTTTGATATCATTTACATCACCTGTACATAAACAATGTACATACAGGTGATCAAAATGATACCAAAGATGAAAAAACACAGTGTACAGTCCGACTTTTAGGATCTGATACTCCAAAGAATTGTGAGCTGGTGGCTCCCTCATCATTAGCAACCCAAGTAGCATTTCATAGTTTTATAAAAGCCGTAAGAATATTTATACATCAAATATTATAAGAATAAAAGTTGTATAATTTGCCTGTCGGAAGGTTCTTACAGCCGTTATAGGTATTCTATAAAAGCGAAATGGGGACCACAATATAGAACAAAATTGATTTATAAGATTTTCTTTTTAATGTTCTATGAGTGTAGTAGCAAAAAACTAATAAAACACATTTATAAACATCTATAAGATACTAACAAAGCAAAAATAATATATTATAAAATGTTCCCAAAAAAGTATTCGCACATAACAAGTATAGCACCTTAAATTGTTTCATAAAGGTTGCTGTACAAGGAATATTTATTGTTTAGGATATGTCTATCAGTATAGTTAGAAGTGCATTTAAATATTGCGAATTATTTTTAAATAACCAAGTATTCTTCTAATGGCAGTCAGTAATAGCAAAATTGCTTCAATTTTTATTTCCTTGGGATAAAACGTTCCTCCGTGTAGCTTCGATATCGGGTCTTCAAAAATAAAAACCAATCAAAGATGTAATGTCTTAGCAATATTTTTCTTTAATTTTGTCAATGAACTTTAATGTCAAAATGTCATGTCAAAATTCTGACCAATAAAGAAACAATAATGCGACGTACGTTTTCGTGATCAAAGCAATCTTTGATTGTTTTTTTTTTTTTCGAAGAACTGATATAGTAAGTAACCTATATCAATTCTCAATTATCTTTATTTTATTTAAGCACCGTGGATGGTTGGATTTTGTTTGCGAATCAAACTTTACTGTGCAAATATATAATGTTTTCAAGTGAATTTTCTATGCACCCTTGCCTATTGGTCATTATTTCCTCTTATCCAAATTCTTATAAAAGTTCTTTGCCAGTTGCGAATAGTTTTTGACAGTAAAGTTTTACCACATCCAGGTTTTCCGCATAAAAGTACCCCAGCAGGTACAGCAGTCTCAAATTGCGCAGAATGTCATACTGGAGCTGAAATGGCCATCTGCGAATCTTCCCTTGATGCCTCTGAGCGAGCTGACGTCGTCCCTGTGGTGTCTGGTACTGTGGCAAAGCCCTCTCTTTTGACAGATGGTTGTACTTTTTTCAAAGCTTCTTGGAAATCGTCCATTGTGATGCAAAGATTTAGTAAATCGTGGTTGCTTACTGGAACAGTGTCGTCGAGCCAACACTGGAATTTTTCCAGTGTTGTCAATGATTTGATGTCTACTGGCATGGGTTCTTGTGTGGGCTGTGATTGAAATTTGATAATTATTACTGGCTCGCTCAGATCGTTTGCTAGCTTTTCAGTTCCAGCAGCAGCTTTTTCAACTACAGTTTCTTCTAGTTTTTCTTCTCCTGCTTTGGATATTTCTATTTCTCCATCATCTAATACAACCACTGCCGCATCATTAATTTTATTGATTATATCTTCTGGCTTTCCAACGTCATCGTCCACTATTTCTTCTTCTTTTGCTTCGGGTTTATATATTTTTTTATCAACCTGTCCTAGGCCGTTTTTATTTTTGTCTCTTTAAAATGCATTTGGATTGCCGGTTTTAATTTGCGCTGTTCTTTTATAGTGTTCGCCGCTTCTCTAGCCAATGACAGTAAATCAGCACCCACATAACCAGAAGTGAATTTGGCATTTTTTTCCATCATAATCAAAATCTGATGAAACAGTGGAATTTGCTCGCAAAATTTCCTCCCTAGCCTTCACATCTGGTATCTCAAGGCAAATTTCCCTGTCAAATCTCCCAGCATGTCTCAGAGCAGGATCTATCCATACCATCTGGTCTGTTTGTAGCTCCAATCATCAACACGTGCCTTCCATTTTCACTTAAATCGTCAAGACAAGTCAACAATTTAGCCACTATTCTCCTTTCCATTTCTTTTTGGGCATTTTGCCTGTTTGGGGTGATAGAATCAACTTCGTCAATAAACAACACACAGGGAGCAGTGTTGCAAGCTCTCTCAAACAAGTCCCTGAGCCGTTCTTCACTTTTCCTAGATACTCTGGCGACTAATTCAGGGGCTGCTTCTTTGATTAGGTGCACCCCTAATTCTCCTGCGATGGCGTTGGTCAGTGAGGTTCTACCACAACTAAGAGGCGAAAGGAACTCTCTGAGAGGCGGAATGCCCAACTTGTTGTATAGTTCTGGGTGGTTGCTGTAGAGAAGAAGCTTGCGAACGTCTTCTAAGATTTTGTCCATGCCTCCAATGTCTTTAAAACTGGAATTGCGGTTCCTGATGTTAGGACTTGTCTGCATTATAACGCCCCTCGATGAGGTTGTAACAGCGGCAGCAGCTCCATAACTCGTTCTGTAATTATAAGCAGCTTCTTCATCAAAATCTTTGCTACGTAATATCGATAAGTTCGCTTTCAATCATTTTGGATGGCTGCGGCCTCTGATAGAGATTCACCCGGGTATTGTTCATAGATGTTTTGGTCGACGTTGTCCATACCGTCGCTCGCGTCTTAGCTGTCGTTGCTAGAGAAATCTTCCTCAGAAACAGTCTTTTTCCTGCATGCCGTAGCTTTGCAATACAATGGAGTAGGTTCTTTTACTGAAGCCCTGAAGGCGCTGCGTTCCCTTTTAGCGTATTCGCGGTACGTGTTTTGGAACTCGTCGGTCATCTGATTGGTGTCCACATAGGTTTACGCTTTTTTCCGAATACTTTTGTACTTGTGGTACCAAAGTAGCATCGAACATGTAAGTTGGCTTTATTCGGGATTGTGATTTGTCCACAGAACTATAACTCAAAGGCACGATTTCCACACTACTAGAAGTTGGTAATTTTTCCATCGGAATCGATATTTACCATCAGCGACGCATTTACCGGAGCAAACATTCACATGAATACACTCTGCAATCTTGACATCGAGCAACGAGTATTGATTATTTCTGTAAATTCCTGGATGAAGCTTAAAACTCTTTTATTTTTGGCCTAGAAAAAGTAAAATGAGTTTTGGAAAAAGTCAAACTTTACGCTTTTGGGTATCAAGTCGAATAGTTCAGAAACCAAATATACAACAGATTTTTGAATTGCTTTTCTTCTACTCTTTGCTATATTTAGGAAATTATTTACTTGAGTGAAGTTGTCTCTTCTTGTTCTTTTGAAGAAAATTACATATATAGAATATAGTATATAGTTCTGACCTCACAAAATTCATGGCTCTATAGCTGGCTACTTGAATATTAGGCTAAGCAATGGAGGAAGTTTACCTCAACATAATTAGAAGTTAATATTTTTTGGGGGAGATCGGTTCATTTTCATGTGCTTAATAACATATTAAGTTTGCGACCTTGTACTTCCATAGGGTTTTTAGTTAGGGGTGGTTTTTAGGGGTAATTTGCGGTTTATGGAGAACGTTGCTCAAAGGGATGGTCCAATAGCAAAAAGTTCCAAATAAATGTTGTCGCTGAAGTTTTTTGCTATAAAAAACTCAGCGACAGCACCCTTCTATCTTCTTTAGTTTTTTTTTCTGCAGCGTCTTGAATACTAGCATGTTTTTATTCCAGGTCGCTGAATCAACGTTGCACCTGTTTGCGCGCATTTGATGCAGCAGCGGCCAAATTCATAATCCGATTTCAATTTTTCAAACACCACATTATTGCTAATGAAATGCACTCTCCAATGCTTTTTTGTTCGAATTTTTTGCTTGAAAATTAAGCGAGCACGGACTTGCCTAATGTGCGTAAATTGCATCGAGAACTACCCCTTTCTTGCATTCACTGTAATTTCTAAACGGGGCCAAATATTTGGTGACAGTTTTCGACAATAGGCAGCCCATTTATTCCTCTCGTATTGCCCCAGCGGATTTTTTTTTCGTTAATTACTCAATGACTTATTCGCCTGAACACGTCGCGCGGAATTTTTCAAAAAGTCAAAAGAAAATTAAAAGTGTCGCACAGCGCTGAAATTTGGTACGATGGCTTTATTTATTGTTTTGATGAATATACTGCAATTTTAATTAGTTTACATGACTGCTGCAACAATTAGAATTGCAGTATATTCATGAGAACAATAAATAAAGCCATCGTACCAAATTTCAGCGCTGTGCGAAAATCTTAATTTTTTTTGACTTTTTGAAAAATTCCGCGCGACGTGTTCAGGCCAATAAGTCATTGAGTAATTAACGAAAAAAAAAACGGCTGGGGCAATATGAGAGGAATAAATGGGCTGCCGATTGTCGAAAACTGTCACCAAATATTTGGCCCCGTTTATAAATTACAGTGAATGCAAGAAAGGGGTAGTTTTCGATGCAATTTAGAACTTCCTCGCACATTAGGCAAGGCCGTGCTCGCATAATTTTCAAGCAAAAAATTCGAACAAAAAAGCATTGGAGAGTGCATTTCATTAGCAATAATGTGGTGTTTGAAAAATTGAAATCGGATTATGCATTTGGCCGCTGCTGCATCAAATTCGCGCAAACAGGTGCAACGTTGATTCAGTGAGCTTGAATAAAAACATGCTAGTATTCAAGACGCTGCAGAAAAAAAACTATAGAAGATAGAAGGGTGCTGTCGCTGAGTTTTTTATAGCAAAAAACTTCAGCTACAACATTCATTTGAAACTTTTTGCTATTGGACCATCCCTTTGAGCAGCGTTCTCCATAAACCGCAAATTACCCCTTAAAACCACCCCTAACTGAAAACCCTATGGAAGTACAAGGTCGCAAACTTAATATGTAATTAAGCACATGAAAATGAACCGATCCCCCCCAGAAAATGTTAACTTCTAATTATGTTGAGGTAAACCCTCTTTTCAGATCCCCGTTTATTGGACTATACAGGGTGTCCCACTGAGCCCGGCCAGGTACGATATTATGGAAACCATAGACCTTACGGCTTTGGGATTTTTTTTTCTTCACTAAATCGGCCAAAAGAAATTGATGGAAATTATTTTCAAGTTTGTAAAATGACCGCTAGGGGGCGCAATTACGATGATATACTTAAAAATTCAAATTTTCTTAAGAAATCGCTATATTAAGATACTATTTTAACAACAGAAATCAAAAGTTCATTCATTTTGGCGCCAGTTTGGTTTCTAGGCTTTTTTCGTATCTTCACTAATAAGAGTGGAGGAAGCTGGTGAAAAAATAGTTTTAAAAATTGCTGTATCTTCCATACCCCTCATCCAAACCCGTTCAATTTGGGCTTATTTGGAAGAGAATTTCATTGTTATTAAGAACACCACCTCGTTCGGGGTTGATAGTTCCCACCACGTCTTCTAGAGGGCGCTGTTTATCCAAGATCCAGTTTTTTCTAATTTTCATGAAAAATTTAAATGGCATGATATTATTTTTTTATTGCTGTACTTAAAGAGCAAAAAAATATCTACATTTTGGCGCAAACCGCAATTCAATATCTGCATTCGTTTTCAAGTTACGTAAGGTCTATGGTTTCCATAATATCGTACCTGGCCGACCTTAGTGGGACACCCTGTATAATCTCATTTCAGATTTTTATCAATCATGATGCCTAAATATTTAGTTCCACTTATATTTATTTTATTTGTTCAGTAAAATAGTTGATTGTTATTTGGTTAAAATCCGGATAAGAAACAGAGACGTGATAGAAAAAACTACATACTTATTTCGTTTTACAGTGGAAGTTAAGCGTAAAGTTTAAATTCGTCCAAAATAACTTTTTCTAGGCCGAAAATAAGAGGGTTTAGGGCTTCATCCAAGAATTTCCAGAAATAATCAATACCGTATCTTCCACATAGGCCAAGACTCGTTTCTCAATGTCAAGATTGCAGAGTCTATTTATGTAAATCTTTTTTCCGGTAATTGCGTCGGTGATTCATGGTAAATATCGATTCCGATGAAAAAATTACCAAATTCTAGCTATGGCATATTCTCGATTTGGTCCCTCAGACTGAAGCTAGTAGGTACTCATGCTAAAAATATCGTGTCATTACTGGAGGGTTAAATAATTGTTATGCAAGTTATGTAAATTAGCAATACAATTTTTGTATAAAACTTTACGTTTATATTGTGGTAGGTAGGTAATGCAGTAGTGGAATAACCGTTAATAAACTAACACGTATAAACGTATAAAACGTTATTTGACGGTTACTAAATAAATGCCAATACAACTGTTGTATTGATCAGTTTCTCGCAGTATACCTACCATACCAAAAAAACGCAAATACGAAACGGCAACCATATCGTCAATCACTTCGAAACCAAAAAACAAAAAAAAAAAAAAACATAGAAGACAAGTCCTACCATCAGGAACCGCGATTCAGTTTCAAAGACATTGGAGGCATGGACAAAGTGAGGCGCAGTTTAAATAATTGTAAACAGGGCAGATCAATGATCGACCTCCCTAGCGGGAAAAGAGCCGAGTATAGTGTACAGTTGTCGAGGGAAAATCTCCGCCTACTAGTAGGAATTTACTCAGGACACTGTAGACTAAATAAACACCTTTACACTTTGGGTATTGTTGAGATGGTGCGACGCTGCAGACGAAACGGTTGAGCTATGTGCTTTGTCACTGCCCAACCTTTTGTCAACAACGGCAAGCCATACTGGGGATATCTGGCCTGATATGGCCAGGTTGATGCGCACCTCACCTGGAACTCTCCTGCAATTTATCCGACGGGTGCGATGTCTGCGGGAGACCCCCGTGGAGGAGGATGCGCCTTAGCAAATGGAGGTGACACAAAGCGCCCTAAGACGAGGCCTAGTGTCAGTGAGGTAACTTACCCTCCTTTGCAACTATCCAGATCCAGCAAGGCTGTGAACAACTGGAAGTTACGCGAATGACCTCCAAAAGAACCCGGAAGCCGCTGCACCTCTTGTTAGTGAAAACAACAACAACAAAAGTGTACGAAATTACTAGAATGATTGATATGGTGGATAGTGTGGACACCAGAAGAAAGAACTTTTACAAAGACGATTTTGACTCCTGAAATGATGGGGGAATAATTTCTGAAGTAAAATACGTACACTAACAATATTAATGGCTCTTGGTGAATTTAATTTGGTTAACCTTCTGCCCACATAGGCCACATGCAATGATAATTTTCAGTATGCTTTGTTTATTTCTTTTCAGGGTTTCAACTTCAATTCTTCTAGATACTGTTACTGTTATTGCAAATATGTACCTGAAATCTTGTGATGAATTGAAATCGATATTATTGAAATAAACTATCATTATTATTATTATATATTTTTTTTTTTGGGTTGGCCTCACTTACGGCTCCGACTGACCCGCGGCTCCGACTGACACGGTTGTAAGTAGGCCTGGTGTTCCGTCCACCGTTCTACTCCCCACCAACCGCAAGGTTAGTAGAAACGGTGTTCCGCATCGTGTGCAATGATCTCAGGATGACTGCTTCCTGCATCGTGCCAGCAAGGTGTTCTTTTTATCACGACAGACTGGCAAGTTTTTGAGAGCTTAGAGCAGTGTTTGTCGTGCACGTCCGAGAGCCCCAATCACCAAAACCACTAGCTTGACGGTATAGCCCCGGTACATTCGGCGAAGGTCAAAGAGAAGATCCTGATATTTCGTCCCTTCTACTCGGCTAGACCGGTGCGATTTTTCATAACATTTTATGCGTGACGGGCTAGGTCAAAGTCTTGCATAAATCTTCTTATTGTTTGTCTGTGTGTTGATTTGAAAACAGTCATGTTATATGACAGGTTTTGAGGATCACTGCCCTTTGTTTACTCTTGTGAATTCTCAAATCTAGCTGTAGTTTCTTAAGGTTTTGCATGAACGAGAGTGGTGTTATTCCTGTAGCAGAAATAATGAAGGGCAATATTATTACTCTATTCTGTTTCCAGAGGGTCGTTATCTCTGCTGCCAGACTTTGATATTTTTCTTCCTTTTCACTCTGCTTTTCTTTGATGCTATGATCAGATGGTATTGACACTTCAAGAAAATATGTTGTTTTCTCTTATTTGTTAACAAGAGTAATGTCTGGCCTGTTGTGGTGCATGGTCTTATCTGTGAGTAGTGTTGTGTCCCAATAGAGCTTATAGTTTTCGCTTTCTAGAATTTTAGGGGGAATATACTTGTAGTATGGATACAAGAATCGTAAACTCTACAGGATTGCTCAATCGGCTAAATTTGTTCACAAGTGCTGTGACGTCACCTGCATTCCTGACTTTCAAGATGGCCGCCGATACAGATGATAGTTGAGTTTGTGCTGACAATTATTTTATCGTAAATTCCAAGTTTATCAAGTGTTATAAGTGTAATATAAAGTTTCATTTAATGCGTGTAATCATAAAAGACTCATGGCTAAAAATAATCGCGGAAACCCCAAACATTTTCTGGTTTTAGTGGTTTTGTAATAATGGATTTGTTGCATCAGGACATAGCTTTCTTTTATTCGTGTGTATTGCTTTCTACATAGTTTCCTACTGATTTCCTAGTCAAGTATTTGTATTGTTTTTTTTTTTTTTTTTGTAAATCAAATAACTACTCAGTTGTAAGTTTCCTTTGCATGTAATTACTAGAAATGAGAAATTAGTGTTTGTGAAGAGTTAATAAATAAATAAATATGTAAATGAATTTCTTTACTGACGCGTTTACTATGTAAACGCATGGAAAATATGGGAAACTTGCAGTGTTTTTCTGGAGTATGATTATGAAAATCTAAATTAGGTATCACTATTTGGCTTTGCGTGAGATAAGCTTTACTTTGAATGCCCATATTCGTTCTAGTACTTGTTAAACAATTCAATAATAATTGAGAAGTAGGTAGACAGTGAAAAATAAAACACACTATTGCAACCACGTTTCGCGTATATTTTGATAATAAAATGCAAAAAAAGTATCTGCATTGAGTTTGTCCTTTCTTTTACAAAAAACTATCCACTCGTTTTAAATAGTGTTTTACATACAAGATATTTTCCTTTAGGAAAGCGATGAAATTTACATTTTTGAGTGCTTGCTTTCTGATCAAAATGATTATTACCCCCATACACACAACATCTCATTCCAGGCATAGGTATCTTTAACCGAATTTTCGTGACGAACTACTTCCATGATTTCATGAACCCAAAAGTTTTCGCGAGAAACTGATGACGTCATATTGAATGTAGTTCGACGGAGGCATGGACGCAGCTTCTAGCCATCGTCCAAACTCATGACGTCACAGACGAACTATGGTCGCCCTTGGATCAACTACATTCGTCGCGCAAATTGGGTTTATGTTATAAATGTACCTTCTTGTTGCACTAAAAAAAGGTAAAAGAAATGCACATTCTAATATAATAATTATGTGAGTATTTTGAAATTACCCTGCTGATAAGCAGAGAACAAAGAAACTCGTCTTCGTAATTAGAAAACCACTCAAGCACACAAACTTCTGAATTTTGAAGTCTGCTAAATTTAAAAAACACAGTTTCCAAAGGAAATAACCTCAAAATAACAATTTTTCATCATTGAAAATGCAAGGAAAATGCACTGTCATGATAAAAAACAAACCGATCAAGGCCGGGTGACGTCACTAGCATTCCTCCATGTTCGATATTTTTATGAACGTATGTCTTATGGGATTGAGCAATCCTGTAGAGTTTACGATTCTTGGTATGGATCCTTATTATCGGTGAGGCCTAATTTCTGTCCTATAGCTTGGTGCAGAATTTTTGCAGCTGTGTCATGTCTATTTGAGTACAAAGCACCAGCAATGACAGAGCAGCCATTTGTTGTGTGGTGTATTGTCTTAGGTGCCAGTTTACACTTTCGGTATTTATCGTTGTGTATTGTTGAGTCCTTTATTATAATATATTTTTCATGGTTGAGTGTGTTTATGATCTGGTCCTGAATTGCGAGTGTGTTATTATTATTATTATCATAATTATTATTATTATTATTATTATTATTATTATTATTATTATTATTATTAATAAATAAGAATAATTTAACCTTGCAAAGATTTGTCCACAAAATTAAAAAACATTAAAAAAATTAATTTTGGACGCGGTTAAGTTTCGTTCTTACTGACCCATTCTGTAAATAGATACATCTAATAGATTTTCTTATTGTCACCTTACCTACAATATCGTAGTGAATTAAAGTTTTCGAGGCATACATCACGGTATACGAAATAGCACTATATCACCACATTAACGGAAAAAGAATTCATTGGAATTCTCTGGTCAAACTCTCTATCTGCTTAAATTTAATGTATTCAAGTTTCACCTAAATTTAGGAGCATCTTCAAAGTTTCTTTAGACATTTAAAATAATTTTCCTGAGAAATTAGCTCACAGGTGCGGAATTTATGTGTATATACTTTTCTACTCCTATATATCTATATCTTCTATATATCTATAGAAATTATTATCTTCAACATCTAATTCTGAGCATTTGCCAACCCTAAAAAGTTTGCTAGTTTTGGTAGTTTTTTTAACCAAAAAGGCTGTACTAAATAGTTAGTTCATCAATTGTTTTCTCAAATGCATTAGAAAAACTTTGCAGACTCATGTTGCTGCGATTTTTGAAAATAATTGACAATTTTTGAAATAACTGATAATCCCTTTAGTTTTAATTAGATGATAATTTTTTGAAGCTGGCAATTTCTGCTTTCAAGGTTTGCCTCTGTATGATAGTAACGTTTTGTATTTTCTAACGAAACCTACCCTGAAGATCAGCTACTTTCCTGCATAAAAATCGGCCCACTATAAACTTTAACTATATTTTTTTAGAAACAAAAAAATAAGGTATTATCATATTGTCTTTCAAACAGCATTTATTTTTTAATCTGATGCAAAGTTTCTGAAAAAAAAATAGTTTTGAGTTGAAGTTTACAGAGCGCTAATTTCCATGATTTCTTAGAAAAATGTTACATCACATTTGTTTCTTTGCCTATTTTGTTGTGAATTATACTTTCTTATTACATATGCTCTACTTAAATAGGTACTCTAAATTTTAGCGATTTTTTTTTGAATCCAGAGATCCACAGCATCCCTCCTAACAGAGACAAATCTAAAACTTATCTAAGTGTCATTACAGAATCAGATACTATAGAGTGTATCCCTGAAAAGTGTGAGCGAAAGGATTAACAATATGTCTACTTTTAAAAGTCCTAAAAAATACAAAATAACTTACTTAATTAAATTAACATGCAATTTTTTTTTACATAAAGTAGAGTTTTATATAATTTTCCATTTGCAAAGAGGCAAAAACTAATTCTATGTAATGAAAAATATCACATTCATGAAAGGCATACCTATTATTTGATTCGATATAAGGATAAATATTATTTCTCTACCGACTCTACTCATAGAAACAGAAGAATTGATTACCTTTTCATGTTTCTTCCAGCACAGCCTTTTTTTTGTTTAGTTTCAATGTGAATTTTTTCTTCTTTTCTCTTTTCTCTTCACACTTATTGCCTTTTTTATTATTTGGCGTCTGATCACTAACATTTTCATCAAAATTATTGTCATTTTTTATTCCTGCAGCGATATCAATTTGCAATTGCTGTTCAGTGGGTAACCGATTTTTGTCCGACTTTGATGTTGGAACAAAATTTTTAAATTTCTTAAAAAACGAAAATCTTTTTCTCACAGCTTTGTCTTCACATTTTTCTAAATTATTAGCACTCGTAGAAGGCACAATATTATCTACAGACATTTTGGCATTTTGCAAATCGTTCATGCTATTAAATTTCACTGATTGAGAAATACTGCGAGGGCTGATAGAATCTTTGTGCAATGTCGACTTTAGATTGGGTTGCTGATCCGTATTTGAAACAGATCTACTTACAGAGTTTCGTTTTTCTGATGCTTCTATACCTCGAAAGAGACTACAATAATGATAATAAATAAAATACTAAGAAAATTTTGTGCTACATTTCTTACTCATTATTGGGCAAACTCAACTTAGGTCTTGGTAGTTTTTCAGGCACCTTGATAGAATCTCTCAATTTGTCCCAAAAATTCCAAAAGGTCCCCGATTTTCTAATATCCAACTTAAAATAACAATCCAGCTCTGGAGGCAACCTGCCACAGTCTTTGTACAGACAAGGAATTATTTTTCTGGCTCTCTGATCTAAAGACAATGGGTTATAAAAAAAAATTATGCATATGAGGTGTTCCGAAAGTCCTGCAAATCACTCATATTTTTTAATTTTTTTTTTCAGCTAAATGGTGAAATTAAGTATTTATTTTTCATATGAATTATTTCGATTAATGCTTTTTTTTTTCATCTTTCAGTGTTATCAACCAGTCTTTTTCGGTCCCAGGATTGCGTCAATATCTAATAATAAAATAAAAAAATCCTAAAGCACTTCCTTGTTGTTTTCATAGTAATTTTTTTGGCACTAATAAAATGTATCTTGATTACTGGACTTTTTTGTAAATTTTCGAGACTATCTCTGAGACTCAGAGTTTTGCCCCAAATAGATTTTGGGTCCCAGAAGTTGGAAACTCATTATAAACTGGTTTACCCCTTGTTGCCCAATCTTTTTTTCCAATACAGTCCAGGTGGGGGCTTGTTTGAAAGGTCATGGGAAACCAAATGTCATGGTCCTAATAGAGGTCCTGATCAAAGATGTGTTTAGTTTTTGGGAGCGACTATTCTGCCAACGATTAGTAGATTAGACTATACAACTATTAAATCGATGTATTGTCAGATTTTACTGGATTCTTTTTTTTTTTTATTGTAAAGTACTTGAATATTGTCATAAAAATAATTATATTGATTGGTAGGTATGAAAGTTCACAAACTTCTAAGACACATAACATACATGGGTCACCATGTTCTTATACATACAAACTCGTAGATTCCCTGTTTCTGACAATATTTTCCACTAGCCCGCACTGGAACTAGAATGTCATTTGGAGAAAACAGTTAGGATAGTTACAGTTTGAGAGGTTGAAGGACGATTGATAATATCACAGAAAAAATAAATTATCAACGTATTTCCCATTATTTTGTTGGGAAAAAAAATATATGAGTGAAATGCTGACCTTTGAACAACCCTGTATACATCACATATCAGCATGAGCATCTACTTTGTAGTGTTAACGATAGAGCAACTATAATAGGCATACTAGGAAGTAGATTCTAATACATGAAGATATTAGGTTCGTTCCAACCCCCCGTTTTCGTATCGTCATGAAACGGTTTCGGAACTGTTAGGATCGATTGCAGGCGCATGCGTTGACCTTGCACGGTTTTATCTTGGTACAGAAACAACGGGTAGTTGGAACGGTTTCATGATCGTTTTCGTAATGACGACAGTTCAAATAACTTTAACCCTAAATTTGTTTGTTTGCAAATTAAAATAGAAGAATATAGAATTAGGATTACAAAATAATATATAAAAAAGGAAAATCGAACACCAACGCTGATTCATTATCAAGAATCTGAAACTGAATCCTTGCGAGCTGATAACGTCAAGGATTAGCAAATAGCTGATAATAAGTTTAGTACTTTTTTTCACTTGAGAAAATAAAAATGCGACAGACTTATAAGTTAGTTAGAGAAATTGGTTGTTTACAACAACATGAACAACAACAACAGGTGACAAAAATTGAATTACGCATGTCAGTCATAGATCAGTCCACGCGGTTCTTGCTTTCCACTCGGGATCGAAATGACGGTGCTAAAACCAGTTCTCGAACGATCCCAGGTTTGGTTGGAACGCCAACGAAACTGTACGGTAAACGATCATCTCTCGGTTGGAACGCGTTTAACCTATGGCGCATGACCGTGACCGTACATTGAACGGTTTTTGGCTGGGTTGGAACGAACCTATTATTATGTGAGTACTACATGTCGGTTCACTCACCTATTGAAATGGATTGTGCCAAACTATAAAAAAACTTATTGGCATTACTTTGCAAAAAAGCTTGAGATAATATAACAATTAATCTTCCGCATCTGAAAATATTAAATTAAAAAAAAAACACTATTAAATGTCAAACCATTTTACCTTTCTGCGATTAATCTTATAATAGCATCATGTTCTGATCCGCCAGCTACCAGGTCACGTTCTTTAACACAAAATTTCAAATCGTAATTTTTTTCCATGTTATCAATAAGTTCTGTTGCAAAATCAATGTCATCTTCATCAAATAAAACGAAAGCATCATATAATTGAGGGTCTAAACCCTCATTTATCCTGTTAACATCGTCTCTGGTGAGAACACTTTTGTCTGATTCAAAGTCAAAAGGTTTTACAGTTTTTCCATTTGGCAGGTGCTCTTTGTGATATTTCAGATCTTCAGCTGAAAAAAAGCTAAGAGTATATTTTTTTTGCTAATAATAATATAATAATAGTCTTTATTAAGCAGTTGGCTAGCAAACATACAAATATTTCATGTCTAGGTACATATCAAATCACATCATTATCACTTAACAAATATTAAATTACAATTTGCTTAATATATTCTCTACATAGCTTTTTAAATTCTATTAGGGTATTACAACACTTAACTTCATTTGGCAGTTCATTGTATAATTTCAGCCCCTTAAAGAATAAGTTGTTTTGACTAAAGTTCGTATTGACTTTCCTTATGTAAAAGTTGTCCCTTGATCTAGTATTGTACTCATGAATTTCCCTAACAAATTTACAATTTTTTAAAAAATGTCGAGGCAGTAAATCATTTACTATTTTATAAATAAATATCATTGTGTTTTGCGTAATTGTTTGTTTTACACTTAAGAGATTGGCTAGATTTAACTTAACATATAAATTCTACTTGTGTATTTATTACTTATTTACAGTTTAAAATAATTCGCAAAACTATATTCTGTTTCTTTTGCATAACGTCCATTTCATAGTTGTTCATTGAAAATAATACTGTTGGGCAAAAATAAAGATGAGGAGCTATAATTGTTTTGTAAATAGTTAGTTTTGCCCAAGAGCTTAGGTATTTTGATACGCGACTCAATAAATTTTTTTTTGTTGCCATTTTACAAGTGATATAATATGTACTTAAACTGACTGGAAAATGTTAAATATTCATCTATCATACATCCTAAGTATTTGAACTCATTCCCTCGTTCGTTAGTTACAAGAAAAAGCTGTTCAAAATATTTTCGCTCGATTTCAACCCCTAATTTTTGTAGTAGGTATATATAATCCATAGTTGAATGAAGTCAAGAATAAACAACTGGTACAATGAAATTATAGAAATCTAGAGCATTTTTAAAAAATGTAACACAATTTTTATTTTCGAATAGGTACAAGTGAGGGTACAAGCTAAAATTAATAGTGATGAATAAAACAAAACTAAAAATAAAGGAAATAATTTATTCAACGATGAGACTTGATGACACAATGTCACTCAGGATTCTCGAGAAATTCAGATCATTGATAGATATATAGTAGAAAAAAATATTGGATCTCAGACAGACTCTCTGAGGTACATAATGACTGATACTATTATAACTGGAATGTTTACCCAAAATAACTGCCCTCTGAGCACTCCAGTAGCCGTTATGATTCTGAATAAAATATCTGAACAAAACCAGAGACTAGATACAATACAATATTATTTTTGTTACCTACTTGGTATTTGTTTCGTTTTTTTTTTTTGTTTGTTCTAAGGTTTAGAAGCAACTTATTTATATTGACAAAATGACACAAAAATTAAATCTCCTTTTTTGTTTGGTCAATATCTTGTTATGCAAGATACAATGAAAACGATGCCAATACCATGACTCTGAAGCTCTAATGCCTAGCTTTGACAACAATATTCTTGAAAAAATCACAAAATGCTTCGGCTCATCTCATCTCAACACAAAGAATGCGACTTTTGTGTGTTGAGATGTTTGGAAATATTAAATAACAGTGTTCTAAAGTCAATTTCAATTATCTTTGATTGTCCTTTATTATTTTAAGCCCATAATTATATTTAAACATTGAAACATTGTAAAACATTTTACGCAACATTTATTATATTCTATTTTCTAGTTAAATGCTAAATGCTGAAGCAGCAAACCGTGGTTGCTACCTAAACGTAGGTTACTGTGAAAATTTAAACCGTCTATTTGTCACGTGATTAGGATGGCAATAAAACGGTTTGCCGCTAAGCAAATAGCAGTAGTAGTAACGTTAATTTCCTCAAAACATGTATTAATCTCTGCTACTCACAATATACGTACCAGTGGCTTCAGTATCATTTCTTGTCGAATTAATTGAAATAAATTCTAGTTAGTGAACTAAGGATTTGACTTGTTTTCTTTCTTGATTACGCCGAATACGACCTCGAACCGTCTTCGTAAACCTCAAGTCGTAAAGTTGTGGAAACTCCAAAACATAATTTGGTGTCAGGTGTTGAATTCAATCGATGGTTACTCGAGAAGAAGTGCAGTTCAGTTTGGTTCAAGCTATTCGGCAATAGTAACAAGAAAAGAATTGAATTGAAAAAAAAAATATTCATCATCCAAGAAAACGATCCAGTCATCAGTCAAGAGAACGGTCCAGTCTTTAGCCAAGAGAATATTAGGTATTTTCTGTACTACGCGGATAGTTGAAGCTACTCCAGATACCAGACTCTTGAATTTTGGTTCCTGAATTCCGCACACCGTGGGATTCTTTTGGACTTTTCACGTATTTTTTCGAGACTAGAATTTTACTGTAAGTTAACTATGTCTGTAGGTATATTAATTTTTTTTATTCTGTATATTCAACCTGTTTTTGTTAATTTTTTTATTTTTTTTTATTTACCTTACAAAATGCTTTATAACTCTTAATGTCTGACGAAAGAAATAACGAAAATCACTCTGACGATTTTAGCGACACAGATAACCTGGTATACGAAAACGATTTATCTGTTTGTATAGTTGATGAAACTGGAATTGTCGAAACCATGCCTAAATTGAACGTTGATTTTGCTTTAAAATTAATTCCCGATTTTAACAGAGATAGAAAAGATTTTCACAAATTTACGTCATGTTGTGATATTGTAAATGCTGATTTGACTCAAGCCGCAGATAAACAATTTTTGGTTAGCATCATTAAATCTAAATTATCTGGTCCTACTTATAATGTTGTCAAGCATAAAATCCTTGCAGACTGGGATGAACTTAAAAGTACTCTTCAAGAACAGTTTCTAGAGACTAGAAGTATTGCTTAACTACAGTCTGAATTAATTACAGCTAAACAACAACCAAGTGAATCAGTTAGGTCGTTTGTTAATAGAATAGAACAACTTTTAAATGATCTTAATGATGCTTGTATAGCTTCTGAAGGCGTTGCAGCCTCAGCAACAATCAATAACTTAAATTCAAAAACCGCATTTAAATCTTTTGTTGAAGGCCTAAATCAATCTGTAAAATTAATAATCAAAGCTTCCAGATTCGCTAAATTGAGCGACGCTATTGAAGCAGCAGTCGAAGAAGAGCGAAATGTCAACGAAAACTTTAATCAGCACAAAAACAGAAATAAAACATTTAAAAAATACAATTACTGTAAAAAAATGGTCATGTCGAAAACGAGTGCTTTATTAAGAATTGTTCCTCTTCTTCTCAACAACTTCCTACATTTCCGAAGCGAGAAATCAAAAACGAGGTTCATGTCACCAATATAACTTGTGCATATTGCAAAAAACATGGTCATCAATCAAAGATTGTTTCAAGAAAAAAAGAGCCGATGAATTTAAAAACAATCCTAATCGAAACGCTAGAAATTCCGCAAATCCTAATAATTATAACCAGGGAAACTTCCAGGCAATCATTCAATCTTCCAGAAAATTCTGTTAAAATACATGATCTGTTGCAAAATCTTCAATCAAGTAGTCCTGAAAAAATTACTTGTCCTCTCGTTCCAGAATCCTATACAAGTAAAAATCCTATTCCTAATAATTCTTATACTACAAGCAATCCTTATTTAAATGAAGCAACGATTCCTGAAATCCTTGCGTCATAGAAGAAGCAGATAGCATTCATATGCTTTTTTCCTTAGCTACCAATGACGAAGTAAATCTTTTAATTGATACTGGTTCTCAAATTACAATTTTTTAAAAAATCCTGCGTTAAGGGAAACGCCATATGCTATACCGACTATAAGGCATATCTTAAACGCATTTCCGATTCTTTAATTGCAACTTACGGAATCTGTTATGGTGAGTTTAAAATTGGAGGAGTTAGTATCACTCACCCTGTACATTTAGTAAAGGATAATTTTCCTATACCGCATACTTGGAAAGGATTTTCTTATAAAATACAAGGCTCATATCGATTACAACGATAAAACCTTATCTTTTTCTTATGAAAATAAAATAATACCTTTACCATTTGACACATCAAAAAATAAAACCATTATTAGTATTCCTGCTAGAAGCGAAGTCACACATAAGGTTAAAACTTCTCATGTTCATGAATCTTTATGCCTATCAGCAGAAATATGCGAAGGTGTTTATGTAGGTAACTCTATAATTAGGACAGTTTATGGTTATTGTTTTATCACATTTATAAATACTGATGAGAAATCCTCAATTGGGTTTTGAAAATCTTGAACTTTACGATGTTCTTTCAATAAATAAAACTCCTTGCAATCTCGATCGTCTTACTCTGCTTACCAATTCGATTCGGACGTCTCATATGTCTAGCGATGAGCGTGAAAGTATTCTTGAAATTTGTAAATCATTCCATGAAATTTTCTTTCTTGATTCAGACGTGTTATCTTGTACTGAAACAATTACGCATTCTATTCCTACCACAGATGACATTCCTATCAATAATAGACCCTCTCGTCTGCCGTATCACCAACAGGAAGAAGTCAAACGTCAAATTGACAAAATGCTCAAAGATTATATAATTTCTGAATCTTCGTCTGCTTATAATTCACCTTTATTGGTTGTACCCAAGAAACCTGATATTCATGGTAATCGTAAATGGCGTCGTAGATTTTCGGAAACTTAACGAGAAAACCCTTTCTGAAGTTTTTCCGTTGCCCAATATAACAGAAATTTTGGATCAGCTTGGAAACTCTAAATTTTTCTCTACACTCGATCTTGCTTCTGGTTATCATCAGGTTCGTACCGATCCAAAAGACAAACACAAAACTGCTTTTAGTACGTCTAATAATCATTACGAATTCAATCGTATGCCCTTTGGGCTAAAAGGGGCTCCATTTACATTTACAAAATTAATGAACAGTGTTTTGCTAGGATTTCAAGGAATTAAGTGTTTTGTGTACCTTGATGACGTTATATATGGTAAAACTCTCGAAGATCACAACTCCAAACTCAAGGATGTTTTCAACAGGTGTCGTCTTCAT